CCCCAAAACCCCAAAACCCCAAAACCCCGCTAATCAAATAAAAATGAAAATTTTTAAATTCTTACTATATATGCTTAAATATGTAATTTGTATTATATGTTCATACTCTATTTCCATGATAATGAAGAAAATTGAATTATTTCATTCAAAAAGCTTTTTATCTATTAAGTTTAGTCTTTAATCATTGAATATCGCCCCATAGCTAGACTTTAATTACTAATATTCCTTTTGATTTTAATCTCTCTATCTCTCTTAACTTTCAAACTGTTTTTCTCTTGCTTGAATTTGGATGCCATTCGATGCAGACAATGTTTTGTACTTAGTCTTTAATATTTTAATTGCTAGAAAAGCTAATATTTTCGGAGTCTCTAATATATGCTCCATAGATTACAGCTCTAATTCATTTTTCATAAAATTTTGGCTTATTTTTAAGATTATTTTTCCTAATACCTATTTAGATTTTTTTTGGAAATCAATTGTAAACGATGTTTCTGAGAAAATACTTTGTAAAATTTCATTTGATTAATAACCTAAATCCTCTAATGATAACCTGAAATTAAGAGCTTATAGTATTTTCTTCTCAGCAGAAACAATATAACGATAATCATACTAAGTTTTACTTACAATGTCATCCAAAAAAATTTAATCGACATCCCAATATTTAGAGGATATGAAAAGGCAAGTGACGGCAAAAACTGGAATTTTATTAATATAGACTGCTTAATTTTCTTAATATTTCGATGAAGAAAGAAACTTGTCTAAAATTTATATTGCACTCAACAATGTAGTGAAACTCATACTGCTCTGGTATTTTGAATAGAAATAATGAATCAGCTTGATCCCTTCATTTTTTCTTTATTCTAATTTATAAGCATTCATCTTTGCCAGTTGCATAGTAGTTTGGCAAGTTTTCGGTTGAAGATATGTTTTTTGTTAATTGTGCTGCATAATTGACTGACAGTATATATCAATTTATCTCTTGAAATCTGGAATACTATTATCGGGATTTATGTCATTAATTTATCTCCATATTGAATCTAGCATCTAAGATTTTGTAGTTGGTAAATCCTAGAAAACTCGATGAATATAATTATTTCTCACTGAATCATCATACTGATTTCTCTTGCTTTTTAATTATACATCTGTCTTGCTAGTTTTATTATATTTCACAGGTGCAGAATCTTCTTTGAAACAAGTAAATAACGTCTTTCCGCCTTCTGATATTTTCTTGGCTGTTTGTTCTTCAATTCTCGTTTATTTTAAGCCTTTATATTAAGGCTTCTTAAGTGGGTTAGGTTATATATTAGCTTAAAAATCAAATGTCTTTGGAAATAATTGTAAATTTTATTCCTCGAGATTTTCGTCAATATCTCTATTATAAATGTCAGCAGTTTCATCAGAACTTTAATTTCTAATAGCCAAAAAGATTCTCTTTTATATTATTATAGGAGAGATTGATTATCGATAGTTGCTGAAATTTAAGTCTTCATCAAGGTATTTTAAGCCAGAGAAGCAGTCTTTTTCAATTGTATTCTACATATTCTATAATATCATTAACTTTATAATTTCAGAAGTTTTTAGTTTATGTTACAATTGTGCTCAAGTTATGATGGTTTATTAAATTAAATTTGATAAATCAAGAACTTTATGTTTCTTTCCTTTTATTATATTTAAATTTATTCGTTAAACATTTCTTGCTTTCATTAAAATCCTTCATTAAGGGGTTTTGGGGTTTTGGGGTTTTGGGG